GGAGGAGAACCTCCCTCGACCTGCTGACCACACTCCTCCTAATGCATCCCAGGATCCCATTGGCCTTCTTGGCAGCCAGGGCACACTGCTGGCTCATGGTTAACCTGTCGTCCACCAGGACACCCAGGTCCCTCTCTGCACAGCTGCTCTCCAGCAGGTCCACCCCAAGCCTGTACTGGTGCATGGGGTTGTTCCTCCCCAGGTGCAGGACCCTGCACTTGGACTTGTTGAAGTTCATCAGGTTCCTTTGCACCCAACTCTCCAGCCTGTCCAGGTCACGCTGAATGGCAGCACAGCGTTCCGGTGGATCAGCCACTCCTCCCAGTTTGGTGTCATCAGCAAACTTGCTGAGGGTACACTCTAACTCTTCATCCAGGTCGTTGATGAAGAAGTTAAACAAGACTGGGCCCAGTACTGACCCTTGGGGGACACCACTCCTTACAGGCCTCCAACTAGACTCAGCGCCGCTGATGACAACCCTCTGAGTTCTGCCATTCAGCCAGTTCTCAATCCACCTCACTGTCCACTCATCCAGCCCACACTTCCAGAGCTTCCCTAGGAGGATGTTATGGGAGACAGTGTCAAAAGGTTTGCCCCAGCACTTACCTACCACTCCTTACATAACTAACCATGTCCTGCCCCATCCTTCAGCATGCTTCTGTGAATTGTGCTGTTCTTTCCTGCAGACAGCAGCAAAGCACAACCACTGGCGCAGCTGCAGGTGACCACACGTTCTTTACCTCAAAGTCAGCAGACACGCGTTCCCCTGTGCTACACCACTGATGTGTACTAATGAGAACACTGCCCCCTGTACAATGGCCAAAGGAGCTAAACATGCAGCAGCACCCGTCACAAGCACAGCAGCGTAGTTTATGTATTCAGCAAACCCTTTCTTCAAATCAAGGACCACCTGCAACAACATAAATCTTACATTACAATAAACCTCATGCCTTTAAATTTGAAACATGTCCTACAGGCTGGCTGCCTGGCGTCACATGGAGAAAGTAAAGATGGCTGAGTATCAGACAAGTAAGAAGAATCAAAAAGCCCAAACCAAAATTAGCCCTTTATCTGAACGGACATACACAGCAGCGTTCACACAGTGGTTAGGGCTCACTAGCTCAGCTGTTTTCTTTATTACACTGTTTCCTTCAGAGAGGAGATTGGAGCTGCAGGGTTAAGGACACAAGCAACACTGCAGACTGCATGACGGGGAAGGGTGGGAGAGCCAATTTGTGTTTTCAGTGAATTTTTTTCACTGTGACCCTCTCTATATGCTGATCAGAACATCCAAATCCTCTTCTTGGCTCTGTCCTTGCCTAGTTGTATGACCTGGGGATCATACAAGCATTTTCTTGTCACTTCCCAGACCAGTTATTCAGCCAATTCATTACTTCTGCCTCTGCAATTTTCTTTGCTCCAGCAAACAAAAATTCTCATAACTGTAAAACTGCTATGCTTCAATAAGATTTGCTGATGATGTTTCTTTAAATAACAATTGTTTCACCTCCTTCTGTATTAAAAGGGATTAGGTGGATTCTCTTCGGTTCCAACACTTAACTTACCTTTTTCAGAAACTCCTTGCCTGTGAAAATAGAGCTAATATGTAATATTGTGCCTCATACTCTCTCACTAATACTTGTAAGTCCTTGAAGATCTCTACCTATAAAGTTATATTGTAAGATGCATGCAAACAGATAGCTAATGAATCTGAACAACTCAAGAAGTTCTTCAGTATCGGAAGTATGCAAATCATGTCTCAGCATTCAAGAAGAGCGCTGCAGTGGACCTGTTTAATCCCAGAGGACAGAGTTGGAGCCCTCAACTTCTTCCTGAGCAGTGCTTTTATATCACAGAAGATATTCAGAAACAGAAATGAAAAGGAGTGCTCGGAAGGCACATTTAATAACACAAGTTTCTTATTTTAGGAATTATAGTACAAGAAGGTCTGATCTTTTTTCAAATTTGAATTTCAGTGCCACAAAATGTACTGGGTGAAGACTGGCAAAGGTCCTAAAACTGCAGTCCTGAACAAATTGGCTATTAAGGATTCCTTGATGACTTATTTAAGCATTAAGTTCCTCCTCCAACATGCCAAAAGTCTTCCCTTCCCCAGCTGTTAATTTCTACAACACTGTTAACTGCTGTATTCTGCCTCAGAATGCTCTCTTTCTTTGCTGTTTATAAGCAGACACTGACGATTAGGGACAGTGGGTGTAGATGCTCCAGCTCCACAGAAATCTAATGGCTATTTGCACCATCCTCACCTCTCTGTTTTCTATGACCACCTGACACCAGGGTTTGCAAGGCATTTTCGGGGGTTACAGGACAGATCAGCAGGTGTATCTTATATCTAGATAGGTCTTCAGGGGCACCGCTCAGGAAAAGGAACTCCGTGGTCAAGCCCACCTCTCTGGATCCCAGGGGGTATCGTTTCTTACAACTCGTTCCACCCAGCAGCAAACAGGCGCGCTGCCTGCCGCACCCTGCCTTTGCAACACTTAACAGCCACCTACTGTTTCAGACAGTTTTCACATAAACTTATTAAAATACTGCTGTCTATAAAGAGCAGCAGGCTGTACAGAGTAGAAGAAAACCCCCAGGAAATCCATTTATCACAGAAATCTAGACATCTATATTGGTTTTGCTGGCATCAAGATAAACAAACATTTCTTTACTTCTCATCCTCTTCCAGAAGCCTCACCTACTGCTGCGTGTTCCAACCACCACAATCCTCAAATGCAAAAAGATTGGTTTATGGCTATGAAGGATTTTTAATTACATAGTATGAATATAGAATTACAATGTGAACTATTTACAACTCTTCTTGTCAGTCCCCAGACTAGTCTTCAGGATATATATGTGTGATTTTGTTAGGGCCATCAAACTAAGTCCCAACGGTAGGATTTTGGATGCCTTAAAGCCCTGATGTTTTATTTTAATCTATTTCTCATATTTCCTTAAACAAATTTAGATTAAATCATTCTTTTTGAAGAGAGTGTGGGAATATTCAGTTTGATCCAGGATACCATTCCCCAGGGTTTGACAATCTCTTCAGTATGAGGTTGTAGGGCAGGCAGCACTTAATCAACATATTTATCAAGGCCAACTAGTAGGTCCCACACAAGATTTATACCTGTTTACCATAGAAATCCATAAATGAACTGTGATATTAACAATTACAGAAAATAAAACCCTCCCACCACACCAAGCAAACTGCATTTTGAATCTTTTTAAACTGTGGTTGTCAGTGGCAGCGCTCCTGCTTTCCCCAAAGTCAGGAACATAAGCCCTCGTGATTCCAGCAACACCAGAAACTCTCCCAGGAGGAGGACCAACTCATGCACTACCTCAGACACTAACAGCGCTTCAAGATCTTAGTCTTGGCCTTTTTCATATCTTATTAAAGAAATACTAAAATCGTCAGAAAGAAATATGTATTTTCTCATTTAAAAGGAAAAAAAAAGGTCAGTACTGATATTTGCCAGGAAACAGAAACCCTTTGTATTTAAAAAAACACCAAAGTAAGTAACAACAATCCAAAATGAATTATTTTTCAAAATCTCAAAATTCCCCGTATTTTGAAAGTATGCAGATTATGTTTCATGCTTAGGTATAGGAAAAATCTGTCAGATTTTCATCAATGCTAAACTTAAATACTAAAAATCAACACTTTGTTCTCTCAACCATGACCTTCCAGGGACTGAAATAAATATTAAGTAGCTGTGTAAAGAATTTCTAGGAAACAAGTGCCTTACCTTGCGTGTCTGTGGTAGGAGGAGATAACTTTGGATATCCTACAAAGGAAAAGTAGTTATGTGTGACACAGTACATAATGGAATATATTCTGACAAAATATCACTGCAGTCCTCTAAAAAGCATCCTTTGTTACCAAACAGCAACGTATCAAAATAGCTACCAAACAGCATCTCCCATGAAATGCTCAGTTATTGCTAAACTGGGGTGGTCACGGCAAAGAAAACCAAATTCTTACTTCAAAGTACTAAATCCACTGCAAGCACTATGGCAAGAAAAACACAATTTAAGTTTGCATAGTGGCAAAGACTGCTGCAGTTACCAAGGATTTTACATTACCTGTGTTGACCTCACACTTTGTGCAGCCTTGGCAAAGGCAACAAAACTGGCACCGACTGCGTTTCCCCTACTTCTGTAGCCAGCTGGAGGCTGCAAAGGCCCGTTCACAAATCACCTCTGCCATGAGCCCGCTCCCAACAGCTACGGAAGGCCGAAAGGTGGCTGGTAAAGCACAGCAGATCTCCATGCCACCCCTCCAGCAAGACCTGGCATGTCCACTGCACTTCGACAGGAGTGATCCCCTGTTATTCTGGTTCTCTCACCTGGTGCTCCAGCATACCCTTCCGCAATGGGCATGGTACTCTGACCAGCCTGACCATCCACGCTTCGAAGCCGCCCTCTTCCTGACATTAAAACAGTGCCAGGAGGCCGCAGGGGTGGTCTGGGTGGCAACGGCTGCCGTGGTACTTCTGATCGCCCTTTGAGATTATGAAAGAAGAGGAAAGAGACAGAAGTATTCGCCTAAAACAGCATATAAAATTGTGTATTTTTGTAAAAAAATACTTTAAAATAAAACAGGGCTCAATTTGAGGCCACCTTTCCCCTCAGACCCAAGACTGCACTGGCAAAACTCCATTCCACTCTTGCAATACCACGGACTCCCCTCTTCCCCAGCCTGTGACACAGGGAGAGGCCTGAGGACAGCCTGGAGACAGGACAAGCAGCAGTCAAATAACCCATTAGTCCAGCTTGGACTTTGTGCACCGAGCAGGCTGTGCATCACTCCTGTTCCCACCGGCGCCTCCATCTCCCTCGCGTGCTCCCTCTCTACCTTCACTTCAGTTCTCCCAAACCCCTCCCGCTCATTGCTCCAACTTTCCACTCTACTCATGCAACACCAAGCACAAGGCTGACCCTTTAGCACTACCATAAAGAAAAGTATCCACAGCAAAAAAACTGAGTAATTGAACACCAACTTACAGACTTCTTCCCATACTTCGAAAAGCAACAAACTTAAAATTCCAAGTACTCCCATTACTAATATTTTCTGACAATGAAGGCAGGCAGAACCCTAGGATATAATCTACCAGAAAAGTCTTTATTGTTCAAAGAGAAGAGATACCATTAACAGACTTTTCCAGGAGGGCAGCCAACACATATGACATCAGGGTTGAACAGCACTGACATGGTTACGTTTGTGCATCTGGTCCAGTTCTAAGCCCTTTATAGGAATTACAGCTTATTCATAAAAATGAAGTCCTAGATGACATTTAAGGATGCAATGTCCTCCCAAGAATGAAGCTGAATTACAACTACATTAAGAACAGGAATTTACAAATGTGTAGATTTCAGCAGATGCAATGACAGCTTTCACACAGAATAATTAGAATTTCATTTGAAATTAAACATTAGCATTGGTTATTTTGGTCGCATTTTGAGACTAAAGCATGGCTTTAGGCGCAGGGATGGAAGTGAGTTTCTGGGGAGATGGACAAACGTTTCCTTGCAAATTTATCTGATGCAACGTGTCACACCAGAGATGCTTGCCATGGTCCACAGTGAAGACCACCGCTCTGAGGTCTCAGTGGTCAGAACGAAGAACTTCAGTTCAGCACAGCCCAAAATCAGCCTGGGTAAATTCAGCTGTGGCTAGGGCTAAACCGAACGGCTGTGCCTAGAAGCAGACGTGGAGTGAGGCTTCCCCCGGCCCTGCTGCACGGCTGAGGACCCCTGTGAGGGCCTTAGGTTGTGGCTTTGGGGGAGAGCTTACCACCAAGCCACTCAGATATGGTCAGTGTTGCACAGCTGGGGTCCGGACAGTGTCGATGGCAACCCACAGCCTGTTTCGTGGCCACTGGACACCTGCACTTTGCCCCTGTGAATCTCATTTCTTGTTTCCAGCCTCATAAAAAGGCCACGCAAGCCTTCCAGAATACTGAGAGGCTGTCTGAAGTCATCGTCTCCCACCACCTGCGTTCACTCGCTAGATATGCCTGCTAGAAAAAAATCTTCCTGAGCTTTGCTGGCTGGCTTTAACTGTCATGAGAATTGAAACTTATACAAGCAATGCACCACAAAGCTGGACTGAAGCTCACTCAGTTACTCTATCCACAAGGTAGAGGACAAAGGAATTCACTTTATATAGATTAAAACTATCTTCGTAAAAATCCCAGGATTAAAAAAAAAAAAAATTATAAAAATTTTCAGAAAAAGTCTTAAAGTATCAAAACTAATTGTTTCACAGAGTCATTAACTTAATGCAACATCTTCTGTCCACAGTGGCACAGGTTTAGACCTTCAACTAATATCTTCACATTAACCTCATTCAAAACACAATTTGACAAAATACTTTACATTGGCATGCACATACTTGTCATTTCTATAATCAATTAAGATGAGCTTTATTAAGACAACAACTTGGGCTGACACAGGGAAAATTAATACATTTCTCTGCTTGCTTTTCTAACCCCTTAAATGACAATCGACAGCTCAAATCCCGTAATCTGTGCAAACCGCTTCCTTGCATGAAACATCAATACTGCAATATTCAGAATTATCCAGTTACATCTCCATAAAGCTAAATCTAAAATTACCTGTCCAAAGCTCAACTTGAAGTGCCAGTAATCAGGTATGTGTAGGTTGAGAAGGATCTGCTCTGCCATCTTTGCCAAGCTTTTTGGCCTCTTCTACTGAGATGCATCATAGGAAGACAAGTACCAATAAATCACTAGAAGCCACCCTACCCTGACGCTGAATTCCATAACACGTGTTTTCAATTCACAAGGCAATAAGAAAATGAACCCCTGAAAAAGGCTGGGGTGAATCTAGCTGGACTTGCTCAAACTTTGCTGAGCAGCGGACAAAGCAGACATCTTCCCCATCACCTTCCCATCTATCTGGGAAGGCAAAGAGCAGAGCTGAGATTGTTACCCACCTGAGAACAGTAACACTGTCCTCAGCAGTGGTGTCCTTACTGCTCCGGTTGTCATCACTGGTGTAAGTGACAACTGGGTTATCATGTCACACAACAGCTTCTACTCAGATGCCCATCCACAACTGACACAGAAGGAAAAGTTTCCCTCCTCAGCTGAAAATAAGAATGCTTTTGTTCCCCTCCCCCTCTTAAAAACATTTTCTTTTTTTCAGTTTGTTCAGCCAGGCAGCTTTAACCTGCGATTTACTTCACTGAAGGAGGAAGGATTTGCTGGGGAGGAAGATGAGCAGCGTCCTGGATGCGTGAGGCGGGTGGAATCTTTATGGTGCGTCTGTTTCTAGTATCGTTCTGCCCCAGTCATGCTCTCCTCAGCCGCCAAAACACACAGAAACAAAGTGCATAAAACAAACTAGCAAGTAAAGGAATCTGTGACTACACTCACAAAAAGCCAAGAATACCTGACGTGAATTTTCTTACAGATGCCAAAGGGATTTGACAATTAGGTTACAAAGCACCATTTTGCACAAGCTTACAGGGTGCCTATTGACTATGTGACTAATTACGCTACAACACTAAGATTTTACGTTGCCCTTTATTGATGCTGTAACACAGAGCATACATTCGGTTTCTTAGACCCTAACTTCAGCAGACAGCATTTTGCTGTTGCTTTCAAAGCTCTGCTACAGAGACAATTACCAGAGGAATTGCAGTTCAGGTCAAAAAACGGTAACCAAAGCAAACTGCACTCCCAGCACGGTATCTGGCTGCAAGACCATACTTCTGATTCCTGGAAAACTTCATGACTCTGTATAAACAGGCAGTAAGCTAAAAGAGACCACTAACTTTTAACATGGCTTTCAGTTCCATGTCCCCAGAAAAGCAAACGCGCTCACAGAGAGGCACAGAGTGCAATGAGAACAACTTACCCTACGAGATGTGGAGCTGGGGGCGGTCACCATTTAATGTGGATGAAGAGCTACTGGATGACATTACCGGGGTGAGCACATCGTGCGTGGTCCCTTACACACTTCGAGGAGACCACTGCCTTGTGTGTGGCAGGATGCTGCACTACCTTCACCAGAAATTGTAACAAATTAAATACATTTCTGGCCTCTGGGTCCGTATCTGGCATACAGTCATTCACTAACCTGGCTGGTTAGTTTGGACTAAGGTACTTGAAACTCTGTAATAAAAAATCTGGAAGAAAACACAGCCATATTCCTAAGATCACGGTCATTTGACTTTACTCAGGCTTACAGTGCGCTGGGCTTACACTGCTTGATAAGATTTTATACTGTATTTCTTGCAACATTATCCTTGCCTTACTGCCCTCAACAACTGCTATCAGTAACAACTTGTTTCTGTTTCAGCCCTTCCTAAGTCAAATGACATCATCTGAATGCTACGATACGCTGGAGCATAGTCCCTAAGAAATTCTGCACCGACGTACGGCCAGGACTGACAGCCTTCCTTTCAAATAATGTCGGTATCAGAGACGATGCTGCAGATCACGGATGTAAAAACAGTTCAAGCCATATGCCGACTCATGAAACGGGGTTCCCAAACTGCTTCCAAAAAAGGCTCTTTTGCCAAAATCTTTCTGCAGTTCCAGCCATCAAAACTTACTTGGACTGCCGTGCCAGACAGTGTTCTTGTAATTGGAAACACGTGGGGACTTGAAGCATGTGCTTCACAAGTCCTTCAGGGACCAGAGGCACCCCACAGCAGCGAGGGATGCTCAGAGCACGAGCACCCCAGATCCAAGAGCAGCAGCATACTTCTATAGGCTCTTAACGCCCAACGGTGGATGGAGAGCTCTGCCCTGAAACGGCATTATTTCACGCAAACCCAGGCGTGCTGAGGCTTCTTCATGCTTTACAACATTGTAATAGGGGCTGATAAATACAACCCATGAGGCCGCTCAAACACCTGCATTAAATAGCAGAAGAAAGATTACTATGTGTATCTTGGACATTTCTCCAATGTTGGTCCCTAGTGCAAATTTATTATTTTGGGCAAGATGGATGAGAAATAGGATTACATATATACATCATACTGCATTTTAACGGGGACCGAGTCTGCTTCTGCAAGATGTAGGGGTTAAGGTCCTAACCCTGCTGAATTTAAGTCAAGATTTCACCAAAAGAATGATCTGAGAATTACAGACCCCGTCCACTCCCCTTCACTTCTTCCTTTAAAGGAAGAGAAATGTATATTTTTTAATTTCACACAAGAGCCTCTCACCTCAGAAGGACTTTTGTGTCAAGTACTGCAATACATTTGGTTTTAAACAATTAAACATTCAAAAGAAACACATCTATCATAGGCTTTCAAGTCTCTGCCTCGGAGTGCGAAGGGTATTCTTCCCTAAAGCAGTTACTTTCAGACCTTTTGTGAAGCACAACTTCTCCATTCAAGCAAGAGCACCCACGGTCCTGCATCTGATCTCCCCCAACCACCTTCAGCTGCAACAGCACACAGGCTCTTCCCTCAGCACCTCTTCCTCTGATTTAAGGCCAGTCACAGAAATCAGCCTCTTATTTATCTCACACATACATAGAATTAAAACCAGAAGCACCAACGAACTGAGAGCACGGTTTCAAAACAATCTCCAGTTCCTATGTTTTTGCGTCATGCTAACAGAAACAGGAACTCAGATTCCCTCTGTAAACTTCGACTCTCTCAGAAAAACAACCCATTGCTGAAATTTGGAGCAAGAACTGCAGAGGGAATTGAGTGGCATTTGGTAAGGTCTCTAAACCTTCATGGCAAGGTTCACCAGCGCATTGAGGTTACCATTTCACAGCCAAGGGGAATGTGCCTCTGCTTTTCAGCCACTCTAATGCAAACTTTAAACCACCTGTGAAGGTAGATTTGAGTTAACACATTGGACTACAAACAGAAGCAGCTGAGGTGTGAAAACACTGCAGCTGGCAGCGCACCTATTGCCAACTATGTTGTGGGAATGCAAACTTCTGGGAGAGCTATGAAGCAGAAGTTTTATATTGCCACACAAGATATGCCAGGGCTTGTTTGTGAAAATCCTAAATCAAAGAGTTGGTGCTGAATTCTAATCATTAGCTCATGCTAAGAACAAAACTTACAGGGAATCTTTCTTATCATAAATTTGAATTACTTTGACTTCAGTTTTCTCCATTCACTTTTCAATTTCCCCTGAGGAATCAAGCATAATCTCACACAACAAAATAAAACAAAAAAAAAACCCCAATCAAATCAAACAAACTAGAATAATACCCACAGATAATTATTACTTAAAACACATTTTAAACTCACTATCCAAAAGTACTAGCTTTTCCACTCTCTTTATTCCTGCTCAAAGTAAACATGAAAGCATATAAGCATATACTTTTAAAAGCACTTGAAGTCCTCTATGGTGTTCTAGAGCAAAGAGCCAAAATTAGAGTCACCGTAAAAACAAAGTAGAAATTGTGTAATACTAAATTTTTCCTCCCATGATTAGTTCCTTTATAAATCATTCAGAAAAGAAAGCCAGTTGAAAAACAAACAAAACAGCACTAAAAAGGAAAAAAAAAAACCTTACTTGTGTCAGACTGAGATTTCAGCACGCCTTCAATGTCCGTGGTGATTTTGGAGACCTGACTATAAAACTGTTGGACAGAATTTTTCAGGCCAGAAATATCAGTGGAATGAGATGCTATAGTTCCATTCATTTCACGGATGCAGTTCCATAAGCTGCTCACATGCTTATTCAGACCTTCTTTTATCTTCTGCAAGCTACCCGAGACAGAGTCTAGCTTGCCGCAAACTTTTTCAACACGTGAGACTCTGCTCTCAACATCCGAAACACCGTCCTGGACACCCTGGGTCTTTTCTTTGCACTTGGTAAGATCATTCAGGATATGGTCGTTCAATTGTTCTAGTCTCTCTTTCATTTCACCACAGCAATTGTCACTGGGATGAGCAGTTTGATTTGCAAATGTCCTCTGCATTTGATCGATTTTTCGGAAGACACCTCGTTGTGTTTTTCTACAGGTAGAATTGACACCCAGAAGCTGCTCCCTACAGCTGCTCAAGCCATCTTGAAGATTTTTCATATCTTTATCCATGACATTTAGACTATACCGGAAAACACGTACGTCTCTCTGCATTTTCTGGATGTCACGTTGGTTGCCCTTAATTAAGTTGAGTTCCTCGTTAAGAGAGCTATTTAGAGACTGCAGGAGAACAGAGTTGTTCTCTGCCTTCAAAAGCAAGTGATTGTATTTGTTGTTACAATTTTCTAGCTCTTTCTGAAGTTCCTCCATTCCTTGTGGTGCAGACTGACATTTCTGCCCACAGAGGTGTTCAAGTGACAGCAGTTTGCTCTTCAGGAAATTAATCTCTGCTGTAAAATGCTCATTTGCAAATCCTGCGTCGCTGGGCAAGATGGGTCCAGGATTAATATACATTCCATCCGGGTCTGTGGTATTAGCGATCTCTAAAATAGTGCCACCAAGCCTATCTTCCAGCGCCCGCAGCTTTTGGTCAAACAAGTCTCTCAATTCATCCACCTCAGCAGCTATCGCACCGCGGAGAGTCTCCTCAACGTAAAAGCAATGTTCTTCAGCATTTCGTTCTGTAACATTCATCCTCGCATCTAGCTCCTCCAGCCTCTCACCCAGCACGTCTTCTAGATCTGGAGTTGACAATCGACTGATTTCATTATCTATTCTGACGTTCAAGATCCTGTGTGCTTCCGCAACTCTGTCAATCTTCTTATCTAAATCTTTTATCTGCTGTTCAAAGTCATTTCTCTCACCCTCCCTGCAACAACTGGACTTGTTTGACAGAATCTGAGTTCGGAGAGTATTTATTTCTTTCCTCAAGTCATTCTCTTTTCCTCTTATAACATCAATTATTCCTAAACAGTTATTTTCATTGTCATCACACTGCTGCTGGATATCCTGTAGTTTGTATTCACAGGAGTTCTTCAGATCCGCCATCTTCTTTTCAAATCCTTCCAGTATTTCCTGTCTGAGGGACTCAAATTTTGAGTCTATATACTCCTGATATATATTGTTGCTGGGCATTGTTATTGTAGGTCCTTGTGCTGCCTCCTGCAGTTGTTTTAATTGTCCTTCATAGCCTTTTACTTTTCCATTCAGTTCCTCCAGCTTATCATTCTTCATCTTCAAGGCTTCTTTGACCTCAGCTAGCTCAGATTTTATGTCTTCCATTTCAAAATCAATAAAAGGGTCTTTTTGATCTTTATTGCTGAAGAGTCCAGGCAGATGAATAGTGTCTGTTTCACCACCAACTGCACTATCAGGCTCTGGGCGGTCATAAAGGTTGTTCAGCCACGTGACCAACATCTTACTAGCATCTTCTTGGACAGTCAACTTCAGATTTTCATTCACACCTGCCACAGAGGACTGAAGTTCAAGCACTGATCGTGTAAGTCTAAACAATTCGTCCTCAAGAAACTGCAATTTCTTCTCATATGGTGGAGGTTCTGGCACTTCTGTTGGTTCTGCATCTGTTGCATGGAAATAACAGACAAAGTCTGGATGTGAATATTCCCAGCAGTATCTGTTTTGATCAGTTGAGACTAATTTCACTTTTCTTTGAAGCTAAATAATGATTCAAATTGCATAATGCTTGTTCCCTTTTCTATTCTTGTTTTCAGTAGTTTGTAATTAAAACATTATCAAAACACTCAAAACTAAAAGTTTTCGCACACTGACGAATTCCTGCCAGGATCCAATGGCAATAAATAAATATTTTAGCAAGCAGAACCCCTCTTCTTGTTCAGCAGTGAATGTAAGCTATAGCATATATAACAGACCACTATAGATCCATACACAGCACAACACAATCACCTTAGAGCCACTGCAACTCCCATAACAATAATTTGGGAGATGCTACTCCTGAATTCCCATTGAAAACAAGTGTCAATAATTTATGTGCCTCAAGTGGGGCTGTGCTCCAGTATTTTGCTGAACTGGGTCCAAATGCATATACTGTGTGGGGTTCTGCAAGATATTCCAGTTGTCACGTTTGCTTCAAAAATACCTAATTATCTGACACATATTTAAGTAGGCAATAAGAATGTGTATAAAAGCATAAGCTTTACACATCGAAAACTGTTAGACTAAAATAACACAAGCACCACCATCCTCATGCAACTAAAAAAGTAAAAGCAGACTTTTAGCTGCATATCTACTTTTCACCTAGCACAAATCAATTAATGAATCCAAAACCATCCTTCCAATCCATCTGTCACTGGCAGCTCCTCTTTTGCAGAGCCATGTACAATTCTGGATGTTCAGTTTCAAGCAAAACGTGTAACAATTGTAGAAAATCCAGAAGAAATAAATACATATTATCAGAGGTCAAGAAAGTATAAACTGCAGGAAAAGTCAAAGTAATTTGTTATTTAGGCTAGAGGAGGGGAGAATGAAGAGTGATATTCTGAAAGATATCTGCAAACTGTGAGGGAATAAACTGTTTTCCCCATCTGCTACTGATGGAACAGGCCAAGAAGAATGGGCTTCCACTGGAGCAAGTGACGGTGAGGCCTGATAGCTGTACAGAAAGTGAAATGTCTGAAGATCTTGTCCACATGAGCAGCACAATTTCCACCACTGGAGGCTGGGCAGACATAGCTGATCCTGCTTTAGGGATGGATAAACATCCTGATATAAACGTCCATAAACAGACCCCTCAAGATCCCTCTAGTCCTATTTTCTGGGATTCTAGCAACAAGGCCCTAGTAAATCAAGATACTGAGTGTGATCCCAAATAATAATCTAATATTAATCAAACCTGCAGCTAGGCCACTAACTGTTTTAGTTTAACAAACGTTTAACACCACTTCCATGTGTAGATCCACATGACCACATTAATTTGCATACTCCCATATATCTTTGCCATTATGCACAGTGGGGTAAACTTCACATATATTCCTAACTGTGATTCTGCATGATAACTTTTATACAATTCATATTCCAAAGACCTTTGCGCAGTTAAGGCATAGTATTACAGATATTAAAAAAAAACAACATAACAACGAAGGTAAGAAGCACAAGCAAAGAAGAAAACACACTTCTTTAAATACAACAGAAAATAGACATACAAGTTGTTAGCATTAGGATAACTCTTTCAGATGACAAATAAACAACTAAGGATAAGAAAAGTTCCCTATCAAATCGTGACTATTTTGTGTGGGAGTGGTGTTAACAGCTAAACTTTCAGACAAAAGAATTTTAGCACTGGTTCCAAGCTATGCATGCTAGCTACACAGTGAAGAGCAACACTGAGATAGGGTCTGAAGGACATGCAGTTGGAATTTCTCTTAGTTTTCAACTGGATTTCAGTGTAAAGACATTACAAAGAAGGTAGGAAGTCACAAATGTACTCTTCAAGACTGGCAGAGTGGCTGATTCTTTTAATAATAAAAAAGTACGCACACACAGTGTGTAGCTATTACATACACACTGGTCTATTTTTGCACTGAATTATAGTTCTTCTAGGGTCAGAGCAGAAAGAAAATCTCTAGACATAAGCAGTGTGCAAGTTACTTAAAGATATCACGGTGTTTTATTATCATGTTTTGGAAATAATATTTTAGGTGGGCTAACAAAATATTTAAAAAGCTTATTTTTAAAGCAGGTACCTAATTAATTGGACTGGTTTGAAACCATGTGTTCAGTCCCAATTCACTCCACTACAAAAGCCACAAGTAGAAATCTGACTAAGCGCTATACGTGACACTAATCTCCAATAATGTTGGGAAAAAGTCCTTCAGAAGGAAACATCTGTTTAACATTGTTTGTTAACGTAGAAAAGGCGTAATAATGCAGTAACAGCACTCCTCATACCCTTTCAGAAGACATTAGTTTATACAAAAAAACATCATTCACTCTTTAAGATATTTTTTCAAAAATTGAGGCTTATCGTTCCCTTACTCCTTTAGTTTTAAGGCACGTAATCTAACATGAATCTGTAAGATCTGCACAAGCCCTTGAACAAATAAAACACTGTGAAACTGCTAGGGAGCACTATATATTGTTAACATCAGTACCTGTTCTTTTTTGTTTTCATAATAATTCCTCCCAAATAGATTTTTTTTTTTTTTTTTTTTTGCTGAACACTGAAGAAACCACAAAAAACCCAACCTTAATGCAAAGATTTTCAACCATGAGTAGCCAGCTGGCATTTATGGCCAATGTTCTACTCCCACCTCCTTGTTATTCTTCAGGAAATTCTCTGTATCAAGACTGCTATTGCCTGGCTATTATTTTCCCACTGCACAGTGTCTTCCACATGGATTTGTATCTTCCAGTAGTTGAGTTTAATAGAAACCATAACGGTTCTTAAAAGAAAAAACAAGAAACCAGACGTGATCACGCATACCAAAATCCAAACAAAAAGTTACCCAAGCCTTTCTTCACCACAGCTTTCGCTGGTGTTGTAGGACGACGAGCAGTGTTTGGCTTTTCTGCTGGGCCTTCTCTGCAGTCTTCCCCTTTGTACCCGGGACAACATCTCCATTCCAGCTCTGTCACTGTCTTATACGCAACTGTGTACCGAGGTCTAAAACTTGTTCGGTATCTGCCAAAACAGAAAGCATTTCAAAAATCCATAACCTAATCTTCTATTTAAATTAAACCTAAAATTTAACCAGTTTGTTTTAAATGAAAATCAATTAATTTCATATACGCTTCATTTTTTCCTTCAAACACCAAATTAACAAATATTTCTGTCTAGGTTTTAAAGTTACCTGCACTCAACACAGCCACGCCAGGAAGAGCAAGTATGGCCACAGCAACAAGGGCTTCCCTGTATAAGCAGAGTGATAACATGTTGTGGGAAGTGAAGGTTCAACTCTTCAGACACTGTTGAGAGTAACAGTGATCACCAGTGTATTACTCTATAAATTCAAAACCTTTTTCCTCTAACTAACAACTCTTCCTTGCAAACCCACCCACAGGGCTGCTCTGGCAGCAACTCTTCTGGACATAAAAAATGTTTCTGCCTGCTCTATCCCATTTGTCTTTCCCACAGTCTCCACTTAAACCATTCCTCGGAATCCGTATGTACGGAACAGTCAGAGCTAGGAGGGATATTCCTGGGAAGGACAAAATGCTGAGAGCATGAGTCAGATAAGGACATGAAAGGAGTCAGATGAAAGGCTACAACCAACAAAGGGATCAACTCTTGCCTACTTCACTAGTTAAGTTGAAGACACATTATGTACACACAACCTTAAATTTCCCCAATTAATCACTCAAAAGTTAATAAATGTCAAACTGAATCTGGTTATGCAACTTTTTTTAATCACAGGCTTCTCCCATAATTTTCCTTCAGTACGCGTACTGCATGTTCAGCTGCACCCAGACACTATGGTAACCCACCAGACCATAAGCAGAGGCTGTGCTATTTTATAAAAACTAAATCAACTTAAGGTACAGCTCATTTTGGGTTGAGCAGTGAGGAAATAAGTGAAACAGGGATTTGCCACCTGACCTCCATAAATTAGTATACTTGGAACACACAGAGACAAAAACATTACCCTGATTTCTTACATTAATTCCTTTCTCTGAGTACTAACCCCCCTACAGCATTTTCAGATCTTTTTTTCTTAAGATTATTTCAGACTGGAACAACAGCTTGCATCCATTAACGAGCGATGCGCTCAATGCACAGCTGAGACGTCCCTAAAGTAGTAATACCAGCAGAATAAACACAGGACAGCAGCAAAGGACTCAGCAGGAGCTCTGCAAGAGATTTCTCTGGCAGCCTGGCTGGGCTCAGAGGGAGTGTATTCTGGGACAGAGAGAATACAGTACAGAATGGGCACCAGAAGCAGCCATGGTATCACACAAAAATCAGCTACATGTTTTGTTAAACATTGTCTTGTATTAATATGCAAAATTCCTTATTGTTTAAAAATAATCAGTGATCAGCTACCAAATGGGCTTAATTAAATCTTCAAAGCTTACGCTGACTGTGAAACAGTTGCTATTGAAAGCCCCAGAGTAAGAGTTTAACTGTTAACTCTTCAAAACTTCTCTTGCCATGCATGCAAATAATTGCTGAAATAATTCTGTTTTTTTATTCAACATCTTTCACCTTCAGAGACATAATTTTAATATAACACCCCACATCAGACAGCCATTTGCTATCCCTCTTTTGTAAGCTGCTTAACAAACTTGGGGCAGTGGGGTATAAATGTTAACTACTAATTACGAATAAGTTTCTTTTCCAACCGTATCTTTCCCAATTCTGCTGTAATATATACTAATTTTTGCACTCCATAAATACTCAGTGTTCTTTTGCATTATTACTTTACCTCCAACTTCTCATTTAAGGGGAAAAAGTTACTCTGACTAGAGACGTCATTATTTTTCCCCAACTATTTTCGGGCCGAGGAGTAGTTTAACCCTAATAAGCCTCTCTAGATTCTCTGCTCCTGTGCATCTTCATAGGAAGGCAGGGACAGTCTAGGCTGTAGCTCTGTCTACCAGCTGCTTGTAACTGCAGGGGTTTGCTGAGGTTGTCAGCTTTTCACATTCTGGCTTGGAGCACGTAAACTCAAGAGTGGGTTTCCAATCCTTTTTTACCTTTGCAACACCATATATGAAACAGCTGTAGACTGCCCTGCAGCTCATCACATCTTTTGCAATTTTCACGAAAACATTTGCCGAATCCTGTTTACGAATGTAAAGTACAGACATCTCCAAGGTCAAGTGCTTTAAAAACTAATGAGGAGTGCAATGCAGAGGGCACCATTGGCAAGGACACATCCTGGCCACCCAGGAACTTCCTCTTCCTTCTTCCTTATCTAAAGAATTAAACAAAATCTCGTGTAGGTACTTTGGGTTTGATTCCTTTCCTTCCAACTAGCTGCCAGAGTCAGAGGAGCCACAGGATTAGCTAAATGCTTTAGTGTTTTGAAGTGGTTTTGAGAGTCATTACAACTTCTCTCACAACCACCACATTACTGAAATGCAAACTTTGAACTTCCAGATCAATTTTCACATGCTGGAAATGGTTGTACATACTTTTCTCTGATTTCCGTAAAACACTTAACTGCTCCAAACTTTGTGTGTGTTCCTCTCTATACTTTCAGGGCCAAACTCCTTCCTGAAAATTACAGTATTTCAATTATCTTCAAACACCATTACAATTCTCTATTTTTTCCTCACAAAGTTTTAAAAATATAGTTGAAACACATTTTATAAAAGGAATAAGAAATAATTTTATGCATATTGTGCACTTCTTTGCTCAAATTACAAAATGAGGATTTTCCTTGTAACTTGTCTGCCTTTCCTATCATATTTTTGGCAAGTTTCTCATTGCATACCTTCTCTGTAGTCATGTTCACCAATGCAGACACCTTCAGATGACTTCAACATTCAGACAAATCATAAGACACATCCAAATACAAAAGAAGAATATAAATAAGTTAAAAGAAATCAAGCTTACTATTTTTCATATAGGCAAGTTATAAAATTTTTCCAAACTCCATCTTAAAAATAGTGAGTTCGACATTCTCACTCTTTTTTATTTCATATTTTCACGATCTTAATAGGCATAAATGTTTTAATATGATTTAATACGAAACTTACTTGAACTGCAGAAGAATCCTCCCATTCTAAATTATAAAATATAAATATTGCGTACCTACAACTTTTAAAACGTCGCAGCAGTCTATTCCTTACAAATTCTTGCAGGTCTGAGAGCTCAAGCAAATGCACGAATTAGATCTGTTTTGATTTCAGCTACGGCACATCAAATACAGACTAACCTGAATCCTAAACCACAATTCTCCTAGGGCAAAAATAAGCTAGAATCAAAATGCTGCAGAATCTGGATGTAGAACAGCTTTCATAGTTTACATCTTGAACGATGGTAACAAGACAGCTATAGTCATGGATGGCTCAGGAATTAAACTGGGATTTACTTAGCAAGAACTACTGCTCCTCTATACTGCCAGCCCAGCTGAATGAATCGCACAGGTAGTCCCATTTACTTCAGCAAGGGTAGTCACGTAAGGCTGGGAAACAGAAACTTACCCTAACACTTTTCTAATCTGAATCCAGTCACAAAAAAGTTTCTTAAAAATCACAGCTCCATTGCTACAGCTTCTCTGCTGCTGATATGCTTCATGCACAGCTGTGCAAGTTGCCCATGCAGGGAACGGTGTCACTGTGCCAGCACCGTCCAGATGCACTGACAAACGACAGTCACCAGCACGCATCCAGCCCAAAGGAGATTCCCAGTCCCAAAAAACTTGTTGCATTTTTAAAGCCAGAACTTCGCTTGCTCAGTGGATTTTAGTGGAGGAGCTGGAGACTTCCAGGATTTTGCTAGAATATAACAGTCTAACAGCACTGAATGCAATTATATTCTTAGTTACAGTTCTAATAAAAGAAACCTTAACTTTCTGCTACAGACTGCGTCCTGAGAATAATTTGTGATTCTACATATTTTAACGACACAGGACTGGGAGCTACTACAGTATAAAAATCAGCCACATCTTTATTTATATTTGTAGTATTCTGAATCCAATTACTCAGTCATAGTCACAGCAAACATATAACATACAAAAGCACACATACAGAATGCACTGAGTGTAGCAGGAAAGATGAAATGTTGCTTCTCTATGCAGCTGGCTAGAGTTACACGGTTAGAACGTAACATGCCCAAGTTTCACATCTTTTATCTTGTATGTGTGAGTCTTTACATAGTTACCTAGTGAGGCAATTTGGTCAAAAGGGTTCACAAAAGTTTCATAAGTCTGAGGCTCCACTTTAATGCCTGTATATGCTGGAATGTAATTAAAAAAATAGTAAAACATTAAACCTTCCTCCCATTGACTTGGATTTCTACTATTTGAGTAAATGTAAATACATGCAATTATTTTTAATAGTGTCTCAAAGATTTTTTTAAAACAAAATTATTATGTGGTTAAAAGTTACATACAATACACCAGCATTTATTGTGCCCAGTAACCCCAACCTCCAGTGGACTTCCAGCGCAAGATGATGGTCATATAATTTTGCTGAATTGGGCTAAATACTACAAATGAAATAATTCTTTGAGAAAGCATTAATAAAGGGTGATTTAGACAGTCTCTAATCTTTCCTCGCAACAGAGAAAATAAGAACAGCTGTTTTTTAGTAGTCTTTCCACAACGGCCTTGTAACAAACAACTCCTACTACCTTCACCATGAATTCAACATGCTGATCAAATGAGAAAACACATTCAGAACGCTAACACAAATCTCCACTTTTAATATCAAAGTAATCTGCAGCTGAAACAAAGTTGTGTAGTATGGCAATAGCATTCAAATATTCCTTCTCTTTGAGAGAAAACTATTTTCTTAGGAAAGTGCTTAATTGAAAATACATGTTTGCTGCAAATGCTAGACACTGACTAGGGAACAAGCTATAATTTTCTCATGGTGCTAAACCACAGAAGGAAGCAGTTAGCACTGATATTTGGAATGTCACCTAATAGCGATAAAACAAATCAGAAACATTTGGATGAAACTGGTGGGAAAACATATGGCTCAGTTCTGTAACTACATATTAACATTCAATCTTTTGGGAAACACAAGGAGATAAGTGCCACCACATACTCACTGTGAGGAAGGGACTGTGGAATCAGCATATGTTTCTGCATAAGCAGCGTATAAAATGTTTATTCTGAGCACAAAACTTCAAGGTTGGTCCAAAATTCTGTACTCATTGGAACAGGTCCCATAACTTCAGCAGCCCGCAAATCACAGTCTTATTAAATAGAAGATAACAAATCTTCACTATTTAATGCTTTTATTAAGTGTAAATCCATTCTTTGTAAATTACATAGTCTGATCTCACATGTTCCCAGTCATCCAAATCTCCAATATATTGCAATGGGAGTGCTGAAGTAGCACACAGACACCCTTCAAAAGTACTGCCTAGGAGATATATGCAATCATATTTTGATGAAGTGTTTTTTATTCTGTAGGCTGCAAACGCTTCCGCTGAAAATATACCTAAGTCGGTCATTTATACTACACAGTTACTAAACTGGAACCAGTTGATCCCAAGTTTTCTGTCTCCCAAGAATGCAGGCCTAACTGCAACCCCTCCAAATGGTGGCAGAAATCCTAGCTCCACTGAAATCCCAGAGCCTTTTAGCGACTGTCTGTAACAGTGAGTTTCAGTACACCTGAATGCTGGGTGCCTACTCTGCAGGTATGGACAGGAGCTAGCTGTCTGCATTTCCATTACGGCCAACAGAAATATAGTTGATACAGACAGCAGAGTCGAAACAGGGCTGCATCTCATTCTAAAGTCATTATTTACATGCGATTACCTAAAGAGCATG